TCACCGCAACCTCCGCCTCCTGGGTTCAGGCAATTCTCCTGCCTCAGCCTCCTGAGTAGCTGGGATTACAGGCATGCGCCACCATGCCCAGCTGAATTTTTGTATTTTTAGTAGAGACGGGGTTTCACCATGTTGACCAGGATGGTCTTGATCTCTTGACCTCGTGATCCACCCGCCTCGGCCTCCCAAAGTGCTATTTTTCTTTAGCTTTGTTTAGCTCTTAACATAACTTTTTCATGAGTATATATGGGGGTCAAGTGCTCGGGTTGTGAGGCAGTGAGTCACACCATCTCCCTTTTGTGGATCCCAACATCCTTGTGAACAGATGTTGCAGCCCTCAGGTGAAGAGGCAGCCGGAAGAGGTTCCCTCCATTTTTAATGAAGATAAAAGGTGGAGGAGACAAGCCTGAGAGCCAGGTGTACAGGGTTCCTGACTAGCTTTGTTCAGTCTTTTGTATACCAGTACTTTGCATGTTAGTCATTGACACCACTAACCCTCTGTGGGTACAGAATTTAGGTGATTAGCAGATGAAGGGCCAAGTCGGGCCATCATGCGCAGACATCACATTCTCCCCAACTGTAGTTTTAATTTTGCTTCCATCTTTATTTGTGGAGCTGCGTCTGTGGCATTATATTCTAGTATATTTTGCATTTTATAAAAATGAAAGGAAAATCCTCAACAGCTAATGATAACTGCCTTTCATTTTGGTGAGGATAAAAATCACCAGGGATGCCGTGTGATGCTTATTTTCCTCCCATTTGCCAACAGTGTGCTCTTTTGAGGAAGAAGGGGAAAAAAGTGCGTATACATATATAAATGACAAAAATACATTAAGGGTTATTGTGTCTACAAGTGAAATATAATTACTAAGAGTAATTGTAGTAATTGGTAATAATGATTATAGTGTTAATGGTACTATTAAGAAAGATTGTGAATATATGCTTTCAGGGGGCACACTGTAGCACTCAGCTGCCTCCCTCATGTGATGTGTTGTTTTGGCCATTTGGCTGTGGGGTTGGTTTTAAGGAAAACATCACGTTCGGGGACAGGAGGGTGGAGGTGACCTGTATAGTGAGACAAGCCTGGAGTTTGGGGTCAGAAGACAAATAGGAGTTTCATCTCTGGTGCTTTCTAGTTGAATATCCTTGTCAGATATCATCTGTGAAATGGTTTCATCTCTGGTGCTTTCTAGTTGAATATCCTTGTCAGATATCATCTGTGAAATTTAGCTGCCTTCTCTGGAAAATGGGATCTGTAAACCCTGCTTACCTCACAGGGCTGTGGGGAGGATCAAATGTGATGGGTAGTGCCAAAATGGACGTATAGTGGTGGCAATAGGAATATGACTTTCAGGCCACGATACCATTTTGCTGTAAATTTGTGTGTATTGTAGCTGAGTGTATTGTAGATTGGATCTGAATACCTTTGCTGGAGAGGATTTGAGGAGGTTCAGCAATTCCTGTGTGGCTCTAGGCGGGTACGTTGATACTTTTTAAGTGTAGTCTTAGAAATCCAAGGTCAGAGTAAAGCTAAAGTCATTGAAGCTCCAGATGTTTGGGCTACATCACTGCCCTGAAATTGCTGTGATTCAACAGAAACTGAGGCAAACCTTCAGCTATAATATGAAGATCTAATGTATAGCATGGTGACTATAGGGAATAATAATGTATATCTGAATTTGCTAAGAAAGTAGACTTCATGCGTTCTTACCACACACACAGAAATGGTAACTACACTGTCAGCTCTTTTAGAATTTGTCCAGCAAGTTTTCTGGTTTTTACTAGAAAACCCCTCAAAGAAAAGAGAATTGTGTGAGGTGATAGTTATGTTCTTTAGTTTGTAGCAGTCATTTCACAATGTATACATATATAAAACCATCATATTGTACACTTTAAATATATGTAATTTTTATTTGTCGATCATACTTCAATAAAGTTGAAGAATAAAAAAGAAACTTTCAGAGGAATTCCTTTATTCCAAAATTTTCTAGAGTGGGTGTAGCTGATAGTTGTTTCTCACATTCAGTATTTGATGGGGTTTTTCTTTTTTCACTTTTTAAAAATTGTAGCATTATTTTAATTTAGAGGCTTATCATATATTAAGAACATGTTCTCAACTGAAATAATATTAACAGTAAAAATCCTTGGTGATAACATGCATGTTGCTTTGCTTATTCTTGCAGTGTGAAGACAGCATGTATGATCCCTGAATGGGCCTGTGGGCATATTTAGTCATTCATTTTTGATCAGGAGAAAGAAGACGGCCATCACTTGAAAGGTTAGTAAATATTTCTATGCAGCTTTTTATGGTAAAACATTTTCAACCATACTGAAGAGAGTTCAGAGAATGTGCAGTGAGTTCCTGCATATCTGCAACTTAGCTTTAACAGTTAATAGCATTTTGCCACATTTTTTGGTGTATGTATAGGTTTGTACATTTTTTAGATGAAACGTGGCAGTTAGTTGCAGACATGACATTTTTTTGTAAATTCTTGGGATGCAGCTCTTAAAAATAAGAATATCCTCCCTGAAAGACATTTTAGAACTGTGTGACACAGAACCATTTAATTAAATTTATAGTTTTGTACTAAAGTGTAACAGGTAACTAAAATTACCTGTACTAAAGTGTAACAGATAACTAAAGTTATGCCCCCTTCATTGTTGATAGAAATAAAGTCAGATTAAAAACACTTTTAGGTCAGGCATGGTGGCTCACACCTATAATCCCAGCACTTTGGGAGGCTGAGGTGAGTGGATCTCTGGAGCCCAGGAGTTCAAAATCAGCCTAGGCACCAAGATGAGACCCATCTCTATAAAAAATGCAAAAAGATTAGTTGGGCATGGTGTGCACCTGTGTTCCCAGCTATTTGGCAGGCTGAGGTAGGAGGATCGCTTAAGGCCAAGAAGTCAAGGCTGCAGTGAGCTGTGACGGAGCCACTGCACTCCAACCTAAGTGACAGACAAGACCCTGTCTCAAAAACAAACCCCCTCCCAAAAAACCCCAAACCATTTTTAATAGCAAGACCCTGTCTCTATAAAAAATTAGTAAATTAGCCAGTCATGGTGGCACATGCCTGTAGTCCTAGCTACTTGGGAGCTTGAAGTGGGAGGATCACTTGAGCCTAGGAGCTGGAGGCTGTCAGTGAGCTATGATTATGCCACTGTACTCCAGGCTGGGTGACAGAGTGAGTCCCAGTCTCTCTCTCTCTGTGTGTGAGTGTATGGGTGTGTATGTCTATACACACCCATACACACACACACACACACACACACACACACACACACACACACACATATACACATGTATACACACATACATATACACACACAGTGATTTATTTAATGAACAAATAAGTAATATGAATTTGATATGAGTAACATCTGAATATAAAGGCATGGAACTTGTGCTATACATATGCCCCGAAAGAGAAATTACTGTGCTTTCTTCATTTCCTGTAATCTACCTGTCCCTGCCATGGCTGATGTTTCATGGTTAGGTCAGTGTATCTGATCACCAGCCTCACCTTCTCTCTGATTGGGATTCACAAGTAGACCAGGGCTGGGCATGGCACTCATGCTTGTAAGCCGAGCACTTTGGGAGGCCGAGGCAGGTGGATCATTTGAGGTTCAGAGTTCAACACCAGCCTGGCCAACATGGTGAAACCCCATCTATACTAAAAATACAAAAATTAGCTGAGCAGTAGTGGCACATACCTGTAATCCCAGCCACTCAGGAGGCTGAGGCAGGGTAATTGCTTGAGCCTGGGAGGTGGAGGTTGCGGTGAGCCAAGATCACACCTCTGTACTCCAGTCTGGGTGACAGAGTGAGACCCTGTCTCAAAAATAAATAATAAATAAATAAAGTAGACCAGTCTCTGTGCTCTAATGTAATCAAAGGTCTTAGATGATTTTTTAAACCTAAACTTGTAGGAGTATGTGGGAAGAATATGTGGTACTGTGAAATAGAGGTTAATATATTAAAATCATATCAGAGAGATTAAAAATGATTCCTAGTCTCATCATTTGACCACCTGTATTGAAACTTTACTTAAAATCTCAGAGATATGTTAGCTATGGTTACAGTTGTAGATCATTACACATTATAGCCAATTACACAATCAGTTATCTGTGGTTCTTGCAAGATGGCTGTGGGCTGGTCTGCTTTCCATTCTGTTACTATTTATTTATTGTATCTTCCTCAAGTGGACCCTGTGTATCTAGGCATTGCTTTACAGACATTTGTGTCTATGAGGTTGCCCATTTAGAGCATATTTTAAAGGAAGTCTATTTAAGTGAGCCATTTAGGGCAGCAGTGGCTTCTTATACTCTCATTTCTGATTTATAACAAAAGGTCAGTGATGGCAGTAAAGGTTCTTCAAAAGATACTGATATTCAGAAGGAGTTGGGTCTGGAATCATGGGTAGCTCAGAATAATTGAGTTTTTTTTCTTTGGCTTCTATATGGTTATGCTTTGAAAAGATGAGGATCAAATGGGGCTCCATGTGAGGTAAAGGGGGCTGTGAGGGATGAATGAAGGGAAGAAGACATATGGAGCCCTTTCTGACCCTAGACCACTGAGATGGGGGGTAACTATTAAAAACTTTCTACTGAAGTAGAAGATACATGCAGAAAATAGATATAAGTGTATAGCTCGATATAATTTCACAGATTGAACACATCCATGTAACCAGCACCCAGATTAAGAAATAGAACATGACTAACACAGTCTCCTGTTTCCTTTTAGATACTACAGTTGACTCTTAAATAATTTGGGAGTTAGGGCAGCAGTTGAAAATCCAAGTATAATTTTGTTTCCCTCAAAATGTACCTACTAATAGCCTCCTGTTGACTGGAAGCCTTACTGACTTAGTGAATAATGACATATATTTTAAGCATTCACAACATACTTCACATTTCCTAATTTTTTTTTTTTGCTATTTCTAGGCTATGTGGTTTATCTGTGAGTTTTTTCAAATTGTTGCAAATCTCCAAAAATTTTTCTAATGTGTTTATTGAAAAAAATCTGCCTTTAAGCAGCCCCTCACAGTTCAAACCAGTGTTGTTCATGGGCCAACTGTACCCTGCTCCGTGGATGACATGGATGACTACTCTCTTGACTTCTAGCAGCATAAATTAGTTTTGCATGTGTCTTTTCTTTCTATGTGTGTGTATGTGTGTGTGTGTGTGTTTGTATGTGTGTGTGTGTGTGTGTGTGTAATATATAATGCAGATCGCACTCTTTTGTGTCTTGCATCTCTCATTCAACAATATAATAGATTCCTGCATATTTTTGCATATAGTTTAGTTATTGATTGCTCATTTTCATTGCTATAGAGTATTTTCATTGCTATACAGCATTGTGGGAGAACATAACAGTTTATTTATTTTACTAGATGTGTGTAATTGTTTGGGGTTACCCATCTGGGGCACCCTCCAGAGGAAATGGGAATTAAGTAGGGTTTTCTCCTCATAATGGTTATAGGGGAGGTAGTACCAGCTTGTGCCCAGCTTCTGCTGTGATATGAGGGAGGAATCCAGACAGCAGCCAGAAGATCGAGACACGCTTGGGAGAATTGGGTGTGGTTTCATCAGTCCTGTACTGATTCCTGCGGCTCTTCCTGTGACTCACCATGTCCTTTCTCACATTGTTCCCTACTGTCACATGCTTTCTACGTCCTCTTCTTTGTTATTATTACTCTCCCTACAGCTCCTCCAAGGAGACTGTGCAGAGCATATCAAACAACAGGCAACTGCTAAATATTTAAAGTTCATTAGATGTTGATATTAAGTGTTAGGTAAGGGGCAAAGAGATGAACATTGTGGGCTTGCCCTTGAGGAGCCTGTTGTATAGTTATCAATTCACAAGTATGGCTATGGGCCATATCCCTGGAAGCCAGTTGTACTGTAGAGTTCAGAGGCTTACATGGGTGGGCCAGGCTGGTAACATGACTCAAATAAATGGGGTTGCTCATAAGGAGTGATGGGCATGGTGGAGAGCGAGTGTATATCCTCTGCCCAAATATCAGCCCAACAAACCCTGTCCATGCCAATTTAGCAAGTCTACTACCACTTTCCAACCTTTAGGGAGTAGAGTCTTCATTATATAGTAAGAAAGTGCTCCTCAGGGGATTTGGGTGTTTTATGGGCAATTTCTGTTTTTGTAAATAAAGTTTTATTTGCAAATTATGCTCATTTGTTTACATATTTTGCTGTAACAGCAGAGTTGAATAGTTGCAAAAGAGACCAGGGTTGAGTAGTTGCAACAGTGACCATATGGCCTACAAAGCCTAAAATATTTACCACTAGCCTTTACAAACGTTTCCCAGCTCCTGCTTTACTTTATAAAAGCGAGGACATAGTAATCATAACCTAGTCATGTAATAACCTGAGCCCATTAAATTTCGTGTTAATGTTCTCATTCATGTATTCATCGAGCATTTATTGACAGAGTGCCTATTGTATTTCAAATATATAATGGTGATAATCAGATATGGTTCTTTAACTTAAGGAGTTTAAAAGAGGCTCCTATATCACCTCTTGTCCTTTTGGCTAAAATCAGGTATAGTAGAAGAGTCTCCTATGAATTTGAATTTCCATTCTATGATTGTGCTTTCTACAAATCAAAAATATGACATTGTGGTATAGGAGCATCCCCCGTCAGCTTTTCTAGTTATGTATTTAGCACATTTCTGTGTGAACCAACCACATGGGGCTTATTCTCAGCATGGCTGCTTTTAGAATATGGAATATGGAAATAGAACTAAAAATCCTCAATTTAAAACTATTATGTCAGATATCTTTATTAACTCTATAAATTTGATACTCTACATAATTTGATTTTTGCTTCAGTTATGAGGAGTATGTAATGTGATTTTTGCACAATTACTATAGTCTTAAAGATCTCAATTGTTTACATGTGTTAATGCCAGATTGTTTGAAGGTAGCCATGTCTGGAGAAGGGCTGATGAGTTTTGAAGTGCTTACCAAAGCAAACCAAGCAGACCACCAGTCTTGTGCTACTTTAATAATAAACCTCAATAGAAACAATAGCCAACCAAGATAATAAAGTTTGGAATGCAGCATAACAAATTAATCTGTGTGCTTATCTGTTTGCTTATCAAAGTCATAAAAGTTTGTTTTTTTCTTAATAGGAGGAATATAGGGGCAATGTAATGAACACAGAAAATATAGAAGTATTTTTTTTACATTAAGGAATTTGAAACTTGTTTTTAACATCTTTTAAACGTGTACAGCATTTTCACATGTGCTCGTATATAT